AAACCAATCTCAAATGATTTAGATTTTATTGCTTAGTTTAAAAACTAAAAAACCAATGATTAAAGTGAGTATAATCAAAAAATCTAATTTGAAAAACTTTTCTCTAAATTTTTTAATGATTTCTAGATTTGTTTTAGATTTTTTCATTATTTTCTACCAAATTATTTAATTAACTGGGTAAGGGTCTGTTTGGATTAACTTGTTAGAACTTTTATATTTTAAGTACTATTTATGAGTGATAAGTTTAAATTTTTATTGGAGGAAAAATTTAAAAATTACTTTTAGAGATAAAAAAAATAAGTAAAAATGGAGTTTATAAAAAATTTAGATTTGAAGTTTGTGAGTTTTTAATGTTTGAGGTCTTTTTAAAATTAAAAAAAAAAGTTTAAAAATGTAAATTTTTAAGAGAAAAATTTAAACTTATGAAATATTAATAGTATCAAAAAGTTAAAACGGTAAGAAATTAATCCAAACATGCTTTAAGTTTCAGTTTTTTTTTTATATGATTGAAATTAATAAAATAACAATTAAATATTAAAAATATTAAAATATAGAAATATTAGAAAAATCATTAAAAATATAGAAATAATTTTTATGTTAAAACCAAAATGGATTTTCATAGTTATTCTAATAAAAGTAATCAAAACCAAAAAAAATTTGATTTTTTTTAATCTGACTAATTTTTAAAATTCAATAACCAACGATCGTGATGCGTACACTCTTTGATACGAGTTGTTTTGGCAAACTTGAGCATCGGTTCATGTGGCCCTGTAGTGCCAGGGTCACCATTAATACTTCTACTCCCTCACTCCCCACTGTTAATTTCTCTGTCAATTAGAGAAGAAATTAATAAAGGGGCTCTCCTTGGAGGAGTATTGGACCGACTCTGTGTCTATTCATGGATGCTTTCATTGGTCTAATAATGTATCGTAACACCAAAGGCACGGCTATATATGGAAAGTTTTGTTCTTACCACGCACCATCAATATGGCTGCTAAAGATTTGTTAGTGTTTAATGTCTGGATGTGCTCATCCAGATTACAGAGACAAGGAAAAAATCTAGGGAAAATCCCTGAAATGGTGAGTTCAAAAAAATAATTCCAAAACTATGCTGAGTTATAGAAATATTTATAAAAAATTCCTAAAACTTAAATTATCTCAATATGTAGCTTGTGACGTAGAATTTAACATTTTACTCAAATTGCCATTAATTCTTAGTCGGATTCATTAGAAATTTAGCATTTCGGGTTGCTATGTTCGCATATTTACTTGTACATACCTTACTAACAGTCAATCAAAGCAAATGCTGCGATTAGTTTAAGCCTAATCAGCTCCACCATCACGTTATTATCCTTTTTAAATCGAGACAAAACCTAATGAAGAATATCAAAAGTCGTAATAAAAATTTCAAAAAGAATGAGACAAAAGAACCCTCACCCAAAAAAAAAAAGAAAAGAAAAGAAACTTTTATATTTATTCATTTTTTATATTCCCTAATCGTCAAGGGAGAGAGACGGGGACTAAGAATGGAAGCAAGAGGTGAAGGACAGAATTTATTTTAATTAATTATCTTATTATAAAAAAATTATTTTTATTTTTATCTATTTTTTAAAGATAATATAAGTAAAAATATAAATTTCTTTACACCTTTAATTAAAAAAAAAATAAAAAATAACAATTATTTTTTAGATGGAAGGAGTAGTTAAGTAAGACTCTCCTAGGTTTGTAGACAATATTTGAGAGGAAATTCCTTTTTAAAAAAAAAAAAAAAAGCTACAAAATTGTTTCATTTTAATTGTCCAAATTCATCCTTTTTTTTAATAGCATATGCAAATTTTTTATATCATATTCATATTTTTTATCAGTCAAAGTACATCATTTACATTAAATTATTATTAAAAAATTAACAACTCTTGAGAAATTAAATTTTTATTAACTTCTCCCATACATTCCAAGATCAAACTCATACTTAGAAGCTATAGCCACTAAAAACTGACCAGTCAGCCTTGGATTTTCTATATAAAACATAATGTCACATTCCTCGGTATCTTGGAATTCAAACGTTCCTTAACACGGACTTGGTCCCCAATCCATGGGCAAGAAAAGAAAAAAATGGCCTGGCCACTCAGGGCCGCCCAGCTTCATTCAATACTTCATTTGCTAAGCTTTCATCTACCTTTATTTTTTTTTTCCAATTTTCCCATTTCCAACTTAGACTCGCAATCCATATATTTTCTTTGTATCAAACTATCAATTCCTTGCCCTCTATTTTCCCATTTCCAACTTGGACTCGCAATCCATTATATTTTCTTTGTATCAAACTATCAATTCCTTGCTCTCTATTTTCCCCAGTCTTCCCTCGTCACCACGCCGAAGGAACCTCCCTCGTTGTTTCCTTTGGAACGAACAAAAATTTCCCCACGTTTCTTTGAACATTCGATTTTGGAAATTAAACCATGGTTCTTTGTTGGAAGTTTGAATGGATTGTCTCTCAAGACACCTTAGTCAAAAAATGCACTTCCTCCCAGCGCCTATAAGTACCTTAAGGATTGGACCATCACACATAACAAGAGAAAACAAACATTCCCCAGCTCGTCCATTGCCAAAATTCGTCCATTGCCAAACATGATGGCTTCAGCTAAATATTTCAGCTTCCTTCTAGTTATTTTGTTTCTGAATTCGAGTTTTGTTGAGATCGAAGCTCGTGATCCATTCAATATCATGGTGGTATCCCAAAAGTATGCCGGGGGAAAGGTTGGTGGTTTCCTCGATGGATTATGTCTTGGAGCAATCAAACAGTCAGGTCCTAGTCCCGGCCAGGGAAACAACTACCCCTACAGCCAGACTCTCGGTGGCATTAAGGGGGGTCCAAGCCCTGGTCAGGGAAACAAGTTTACAGATAGCCAGACTCTTGGAGGCATTAAGGGGGGTCCAAGCCCTGGTCAGGGAAACAAGTTTACAGATAGCCAGACTCTTGGAGGCATTAAG